GTTCGGTGCCCTCTCATATTTAAATTTCTCCTTGGAACAAAAAGCTAGCCGAGTCGCGAGGAAATCTTTTAATCTCTCCTGATGGATCGACTCGACGGTCTCGTTCCGTCGCGAGCGATTTCACGTGAAATCACCGACGCACCGTCTCTCCCCCAAAAAAAGAGAAACACCCGCGTTTCTCTCTTCTCTCGGAGACACTATCCTCTAACGCGTGTCTTAACCGCATTTCTCAAACGCTGTGCTCCATCTATCCGGGAAATATCCTCTCGAAACGAGGGAAATTCGTTTACTCGCGAAAAAACCGTGACCAAGCCGAACCCTCTTTCCCGTTCGCGGCGACGAGAGATAGAGAAAGAAAGAGGGTGGCCTCGCCGACGAATGTTTTTCGGACATTGGGAATATACGGACGGCTTTAAGGCGGGAGGGTTTTCGTTTGCTGTGATCAATCATCGGTGGGTTGTTATCCACTTTTTTCCTTCTACCGCCATGCCTCGTGAACCATACACGCTGAAGTATTGAGAGAAAGCGTGGCAACGAAAAAAAAAAATACGAAAAAAGACAACGACGACAACGACGAGGAAGAGGCGTTCGCGTTTCTTTTTCTCCCCGCGCGCAACGCTCCTCCTCCCTTGGTCGAGGTTATTCAAATGCGTTAAATAGCGGGCGGCGAGGGAAATTGGAAGCGATTCCGGGAAGCATCGACGCGTGGTCTCTGGAGGAAAGTAAAAATATGCCGGGGAAAACGGCGATGGGAAACGAAAGGAAAGGAGAAACACACGGGAAGGGTGTTCGTTCTGAGGGATGAGCCAACGTCCGAAAAACATTCTGCATTATTTATGAGTTCTCTTTCTGCCCGTCCACGCGAATTGTTCTTAGGATCGATGTACTCGGTGAGAGAGAACCAAAAAAATCTACCTGTACGTACAACTGTACACACGTGCGTCGAAATATCGGAGTTCACGGCTGAATCAACGTCGAACGAGAGAAAACAAAAATGAAATATACGAAATTCGAAATTGAAATTCGTTCCTTATATCGGCTTTCCCTTTCTTCCGTTTCCCCTCCCCTCGCAGCGGTGTCTACGTCTCATTTCCTCGTCGCTAATTCACGTCCGTTCGACGTGCACGGGGACACCTGTCGCAGTTTGTCCGCCTCTATTGGCGCTACACGTTACTGCATCGCTACCTTCGTGCCATGCTTAACACACACAGAGTGAGGAGGAGTGGCGTCGCGAGTTCGAGGGGGGACAAAGTGCGGGAGCGAAGAAGTTCAAACTTTTCCCTCGAAATTTCCTCTCGAGGAGGTCGCGCACAAAAAGAGAGGGAAAAGATCTGACAGCGTGAGCGTAAGAGAGCAATACAATGAGATACGGTGAGTGTGTGTAGAAGAGTGAGAGAGAGAGAGAGAGAGAAAGACGAGCGAGGCAGATAAATGGCCAGAAATGGACGAAAGAGAAGGGAACAAATGGGCTAGTAAGACATGTAAGAGCAACGGCCGAGCAGCGGCAAACAGAGGGTAAGGGTGAAGCAGTTACGGGGATCGAAAGAAGCTTCTCTGAAACTAGTGTTACGTCTACGGAAAGCCCACCCACAGGGGACGTGATTAGTGTACTGTATATCTCTCTGTATCAACGTGGGATTCGCTTCGCGCGGATACTCCTTGACACACGCCCGTTTCCACGAAACGTCCGATGTTCCGCTATCCGGTACACCTACTTCGAAACGAAACACTCCCGACGAAGTTACGTGGCAAAGTAGAGGGAAGCAATTAAATCAACGAAATCCGTAGATGAAAGAGCTCGAAAAATTCTCGAGGGTCGTATTCGCGGTGGTCTCGCGAGCCGATCGAAGCCGAAACGAACACAAGCGTTACACAATTCCGGATCGCTTTAAAATTCTGTCTGATATACAATTTAGAGGGGGGAAGAGATGGGGGTTGGCTATACAGTAACAATACGGTCGAAACTCTATTTTGGTGTTCTTCGTTTGGGGGTTTCGCGGAGGAGAGAGAGAGAGCTGGGGATTTTCATTTCGAGTCCGAATTCAACATGAAGGGCGCTTGACCCCGAAAACTTTGCCCGCAACTACCTCCAATCAACCGGTTCGATTTAG